TCCCATGCAGTTGTAAAATAATCAGAAACTTGTTCTATTTTGTGCCAGTGACAATAGTTTTATATTAAAAGAGAAATACAGTTTTCATACAGCAAATCTATACAATATCATTGTTTTATTTAATGTAAAGAAGCGCTCTTCTTCCCACAGTTATTTTTTCCCATCCCTCCCTGCTATGGTTGCACTACAAGTAGCTACTGTGTATTATGGGCAGTGAGAAATGAGTTCTTTTCCTGGTGTCCATCCTATTTTTTATTTCAAATAAGGAAAAGTGTTGGATTCTGTGTAAATACATCAGTGATGGCATTTTTCAATGTTTTAAAGCTGTGTACAGTGCTACATGTGGTATGACGTTCCTCAAATTGTCTATTGTAGCAGATCGTTTGTCGTAACCTGTCTGTCTCTTTTGTTTCTCTGCCACCTCCCCGCAGCAGAACAGCTAGTTCCACTGTACATAGTAATTGTAACGTTTTAGACTTTACAGAAACTTTCCTGTATTCTGTATATAAAAAAAAAATACTTCACATTCTGTTTTCTCGACTGTCTGTCTTCACTCGTGTCACCACAACCTGGAGCTTCCCCCCGAGTGTCTGACCACAGAGGAGAGGAGCCTGAGGTGGGGGACAAGGCTGGGATGGGATGGAAGGAGCCTGATGTCCTGTAAGGGGGATGTGGTGGGATGCTGGTGGTGTGGGAGGGAAGAGGGTGAGGACTGGAAGGTGATAAAATCACAAAAACGGTTTGAGGTGGAAGGGATTTTGAAGATCATCTAGTCCAACCCCCTGCAGTAAGTAGGGAAGTCTTCAACTCAGTCAGGTCCAACCTCACCTCAAATGTTTCCAGGGATGTGTTTTACATCCAGTTCTGGGCTTCTCAGGACAGGAGAGAGATGGAGTGCCTGGAAGCAACCTGGAAGATGAGGGGACTGAAGCACCTCATTTAGAAGGGAAAGCTGAAGGATTGGGCCTAATTAGCCTGGAGAAGAGCAGAGTGAGGGGATCTTACCCATGTATTTGAGAAGCTGAAAGGGGGTGTGTCAGAGGATGGAGCCAGGCTCTGCTCAGGGGTACTGAGCAATAGAGCGAGAGGCAGTGGGCAGAAATGGGAACAAGGGAAGTCTCACCTCAACGTGAAAAGGAACTTCTTTACTGTGCAGGTAACTAGGCCCTACAATAGGCTCCAGGGGGAGTGGTGGACTCCCTTTCCCTGGAGATATTCACAAACTGTTTGGTCACAGTCCCAAGTGCGCTCCAGGGGCTGGACTAGATGATCTCCGCTGCGGTTCCTTCCTACCTGAACCATCCTGTGATTCTGTGACCTCCCGTCCCTTGGGGCGGGAGCGGTGGGGTCTGGCCCGGGGGGACAGCGGGTGCCCCTTGCCCTGTCCCCCGGGGCATCGATAGGGGGCGGGGGGCTGCGCTGACCCGCACTCACCCTCTCCTCGGGACCACGACTCGACCTCGCTTACCCTCCCCTCGAGCCGAGCGTACCTTGCCCGTCGGTCCGTCCCGCCGCGGCGGGGAGGCGGGGGCGACTGCGGGGCGGCCCCAGCGCGGCGGGGCGGGACCGGGAGGTGCCGGGCGGGGAGGGGGGTGGAAAGGGATCTCCCCCGTAGCGGCGGCGGCGGAATGGGGTGGGCGCTGCTGTGCGTGGGGCTGCTCCTGGCGCTGTACACGCTGCTCCGGCACGGGCTGCGCAGCGCCCCGCGGCCCCGCACCCGCCCCGCGCTGCGCGGCCGCACCGCCATCGTCACCGGTGAGCGCCGGGAGGGGCCGGGAGGGACCCGGGGCAGGCCTGGCCCCCGCTCACCCCTGCTCACCTCCGCTCCGCAGGGGGAAGCAGCGGCATCGGGGCGGCCACGGCGCTGGAGCTCGCCCGGTGCGGGGCCCGAGTGATCCTGGCGACCCGCAACGCCCTGCGGGGAGAGGCCGCCGCCAGCCGCATCCGCACGGTGAGCGCCCGCACCGACACCCCCCCAGGGGGACCTCCGGGCACCCTCCTGGGCACTCCCATCCATGTGATATCCCAAGGCAGCACGCGGGCATCCGCAGACACCCCCAGGACACTCCTGGCACCCCACGGGCAACTCCAAGAGATACCTGGGATACCCCCATTGCACACCTCCCCTGGCACCTCAGCGTGGGATATCCCTGAATATCACATGGGCACCCCCAGACACCCCAATGGGCACCCTGAGGACACTGCCATGGCATTCCCTCAGCCCACCATTACCCCCGAGAAACCCACGGGTACCCCCAGGAGACATCCCGGATACCCTTAGGCACCACTAGGACACTCAAGGGGACATCTCTGGGCATCACATGAGCAACTCCCTAAACACCCCTGTGGGTATACCAGGGAAACCCCCAGACCCTCCCAGGAGAACCCCATGGCACACTCCAGGGACACCTTCAACAGGCACACAGAAACACCCCAAGGCATGGGCACCTTGTACCATGGGGGGAGCTGCATGGGCACTCCCTTCATCCTGGGGGTCCTGGCACATTGCAGCCCCTGAGCATGCTGCAGCCCTTTCACCCTGGGCCAGAACCAGCCCCCAAAGCATCGCCCCTGTCCCCAGCTGGATCCACCTTCCCCTGCCCACAGGAGACAGGGAATGAAGAGGTGCGGTTCATGCACCTGGACCTCGCCAGCCTGCGCTCAGTGCGAGCCTTTGCCAGCACCTTCCTGCGCCAGGAGCCCCACCTGCACCTCCTCATCAACAACGCGGGTGAGTGCCAGGACCCCAAATGCCCCCTGCACCCTTGGGGCACCAGCCGTGGACTGCCATTGCCTTCTTTGCAGGGGTGAGTGCCGGGGGCACGACAGAGGATGGCTTCAGCCTTCCCTTCCAGGTGAACCACCTGGGCCACTTCCTGCTGACCCAGCTGCTGCTGGAGCGGCTGCGGAGCTGCGGGCCCAGCCGGGTGGTCATCGTCGCCTCCAGCGCCCACTGCGCCGGCCGCCTGCGCCCCGAGTCCCTGGGCCGCCCTCCCCCAGGGCTGTTCTCTGCCTTCCAGGACTACTGTGACAGCAAGCTGGCCAACGTGCTGCACGCCCGCGAGCTGGCCACGCGGGAGCAGGACACACAGGTCACCTGCTACGCCATGCACCCAGGTAGGACCTGCACTGGGTGGGCTCACCATCGGCGTCTGCCGGGGGTGTGCTCTGCACACCTTTGTGTCCCGACCTCATGCTTTGCACGGTGAAGTCACGTGCACAGGGGCTGCTGTTGCACAGGGAGTGTTTCACATGGTGCAGCCTTTGCACAGGAAATTCCTGCACGTGGAGCATTGTTCCCTTGCACGGTTGTTACTCTTTGCACAGGGTGTCCTTTTGCACATGTGTGTCCCTCTGCATGGAGTGTCCCTTTTATATAAGTATGTCCCTTTGCAGTGTCCCTTTGAAGAGCATATTCCTTTATACAATGTGTCCCTTTGCACATGCATCCCTTTGCATGGCGTGTGTATTTATATGGTGTGTCCCTTAGCAGTGTCCCTGTGTACAGTGTCCCTTTTCACGGTGTGTCCCTTTGCATGGCATGTCCCTTTGCATGGCGTGTCCCTTTTCACAGTGTCACTTTATACAGCATGTGTCCCTTTGCTGTGTCCCTTTGCACAGGTATCCCTTTATACAATGTATGCACACACCTTCCTGTGCACAGCATGTCCCTTTTCATGGTGTGTCCCCTTGCACAACAGACCCCTACACAAGTATCCTTTCACAGAGCACTGTGCACCACTGACACCCCCCCACACACCCCTTGTACAGCCAGGGCAGGTGTGGCAGTGCCAGCAGACATTCACAGCCACACTGCCTGTGCCAAGGCCACCACGGCTATCTCCCTCATGTGCTCAGGGGACACTCCACATCTGCTGTCCCTCGTGCAGGGTTTGTCAACACGGCGCTGTTCCGGCACGCGCCGCTGTGGCTGAAGCCGCTGCTGCTGCCACTGGCCTGGCTGCTGTTCCTGGACCCGTCTGAGGGTGCACAGGTGGTCCTGGACTGTGCCACGCGGGACGGCCTCGAGCCCTTCAGCGGCCGCTACTTCACCGACAGTGGCCCCCAGCAGCCATGGCCACGGGGGCGCGATGACCGGCTGGCGCGGGCGCTCTGGGAGAGCAGCGAGCGCCTGGTGGGGCTGGGGGGGGACAAAGTGGGACCCTCCCCAGCCGCCCCCACTGCTCCTGCACAATAAAGGTGATGGTGGTGATGGGGGAGCCCGTCGAGTCCTGTGTGGGGTGAAATGGGGATGCATGAGGGGCTGTGGCACTGTGGGGGTAGGTGGGCACGTGAGGGGCACCGGCCCTTGCACAGGTGCTCACCAGGCCCTGCTCCATCTGAGGGGGTGTGTGTGACACGGAATGAGTGTGCAAAGGGGGGGGGTGTGCACTGCAGTGTGTGCATGGGCGTGTAAGGCGGGGTGCTGCACGCACACACACGCAGAGCAGCACACACAGCCCACCTTGTACATTTGTGTACACACTGCAGCACACACAGACCTCCCTCCCTTGCACACGCTGCAGCACACCCCCCTGAAGCCTTGCATACCCGTGCAGTGTCACCCCCCCTTGCACACCTATGCACATGCTGCAGTGCACACACACCTCTTGCGGTCACATACCCTTCTCCCCTTGCACGCCTAGTGTCACACCTCCCCTGCACAGTGTCACACCCTCCTTGCACACCCCTGCAGTCACAAACACTCTCCCTTGCACACCCACACAGTGACTCTCTCACAACCCCTTGAAGAGCCATGAAGTCAAACTCCCTTCTAACCCTAAGCCTATCGCAGCCTATTGCGGTCTCACACCCATGCAGTGTCACCCACCCTTGCACACCCCAACATGGCGGCGCCCACAGACCTCCCCCGGCAGGAGGCGCCGACCTTCCCAACATGGCGGCAGGTCCTGGTCCCGCCCCCCAGGGGTGCGGCAGCGACCTCCCCAAGATGGCGGCGCCCGCGGGCCGCGCCCCCGCCGAGCGAGGCGCGGGGGGTTATGGGGGCGGGCGGTGGCGGCGGCGTGGGCGTCATGGGGAATTGCTACACGGTGGGGCCCAACGAGGCGCTGGTGGTGTCAGGTACGGCCCGGGATGATCGGCGAGAGAGGGGCTGAGGGGTCCCTGTCGGGGTAGGGGGAAGCACTGAGGTAGTTGGGTGTCCTGGCTGTGAGGGGGCTGTCAGAGGTTCGAGGGGTCCCTGTCATGAGGGGACCGTGAGGGAGTTGCGGGGGGTCTCTGTAATAGGGTCTGCAGGGAGTGGGGGATTGGGGGGTCTTGGCTGTGAGGAGCTCTTAGTGGTTTGAGGAGGGGGACGGGGACCCTGAGGGAATTGGGAATAAACAGGGAGGGGGGAGATGCTGTAGTGGAACTGGGGGGTATCTCTGTAATAGGATGTGATAGAAGGGGCTCCTGATGGGAACTGGGGGGTCTTGGTTGTGACGGGACTGTCAGGAGTTCGAGGGATCCCTGTCGTGAGGGGATCCTGAGGGAATTGTGGGGGTATCTGTAATAGAATTGGGGAGCATCTCTGTAATGGGGTCTGCTAGGAGGGTCCCTGGTGAGAACTGGGAGGTCCTGACTGTGAGGGGAGTCTCAGGGGTTCGAGGGGTCCCTGTCATGGGATCGGGTGCTGAGGGGGGAGCTGACCTGAGGGTTTTTTGGGGCACTGAAGGAGTCTGGGTGGTGCAATGGGGGTCTGTCCCTGTCAGGGAGGGGCTCTGAGGCACTAGGAAGAATCCCTGCTGTGGGGGGACCCAGGAAGCTGGTGGGGTCTGCCTGGGGGAGTGTGTGGGATCCTGGGGGGGTGTTTGGCAGTACCTGCTGGAGGATGCCCTGTGATTTGGGTGGGGGGGTCCCCAGAGGGAGCACTGGGATGTTGTGGGGGGAAATCCTTCCTTGAGGGGACATTGAGTGGGGGTCCGTGTCATGATGGGACCTTGCAGTGTTGTTCCAGGGCTGTCCTGCTGTGTGTGGCCACTGAGGTGCTGGGGGTGTCCCTGTGAAGCGGGGACGGGGGGCAGCTCCTGCTGTATGGACCCCTGGGCTCCAGGGTGGGGTCCCTACAGCACAGAGCAGTGGGTGAGGTCTGGTGCCAACAACACCCCCGATGCTGCTGATTTTGGATGATGTCAGGCAGTGGCACCGGCAAAGCTCTGTGTCCCCTGCCAACAGCAAGTTGGCTTTGCTGGGGAAGGGGAGCTGGGTGTGAGCAACACCCTGGGGCAGCAGGCTTGTCCCTGGGGTGCCCATCTCATCCATCACGTCCTGCTGCTGCTTCCTTACCAGCACGTCACCTGGACTCTTGGTGGTGCTGACACTGGATGCAGGTGATACCCATCAGGTGTGTGGAATGTTACCAGCAGCTGAGCTGTGGCTGAGGTTGGGGTTAAATAAACCCCAAGTGAAATCTCCGGCGTCTGACTCAACCTGCAGCTGCTCCAACACTGCCAAAGCTCCCGACTGCACTTTGGCATGGACCAGGCTGCGGGTGGACAGGACTTAATTAATTATTGTTAGGTTAATTAGTTATTCTTAGGTGATGTAAGGGCTGGGAGCTTCACTCTGTGACAGACTGGGGCCAACTGCAAGGTAGCAACCAGCTTAGATACAGATGTTGATCACTTCAGGTGTCCTCCATCACGTCATATCCCCTTTGTCAGTGCTGGCCCAGCTTTGGGGCGGTTGCTGTGACGTTCAGACCTAAACTCACCCATATGAACATCAAGGATGTGCCTCAGTCATGGCTCCGCTGCGCCTGTGGAACTACATTGTTGTGGTTTTGGAGCCAAAGTCTCCAGTGGACCGTGGCTGGTCTGTTATCAGTTCATCTCTCTCAGATGACAGACCTGTTACGGGAATTTCTGAGGAGATGCCAGGAGCAGGCTGCAGTCATGGAAACAAATATGCCCGCTGTGGGCATATTACAAACCACACCTGCCAGATTCCCGGAGCAGCAGTATTCCTTTCGGTTTCCTGGTCTTGTGCATATCTCTGCAGTTCCCAGTGGAATCTAGAGCTGATGTTGTGCTTCCCTCCAAAGAGACACCCGTCAAAATTGGCACCGCTTGGTGAAATGCCACATTTGCGGGAAGATTGGAAAGCTGTGCTCCAGGTGTGCCCTCAAGTCTTAAAGCTCAGGTTTGCTTCTGTTCAGCTGTGGAGTTTACAAGACACAGCTTGCAGGATGAACCAGCAGGAATTTGTGGCATCTACTGGCAGTTCCAAGTATTGTGCATTCCCAAAGCCTGGAGCAGGGAGCCAAGGACACTCCTGGACGTACAGCCGTGTTCTGGGAAGGGTGCAGAGATCACCCCAGGCTCTGCCAGTCGGAATGGGGTTTGGAGCTGCCACCAGACGTGGTTTTCCTCTGCTCCTGCACAACTCGGTCTGCAGACACTTGCTGTCTCCTGAGGGCACCAGCTGGGAGCTTCAGGGGCACACGAGAGGTTGTGGGAGCTCTGCAGCTCCTCTGTGCTCTTGTGCAGAGTATTAGTGGCATTAGTGGGAGGGTGTTGCTACAAGCAGTTGTAGTTCCAGGAACTTGAGTCATGTTCCTCCAAGGAAAACAGAAAGGACCTTGAGGGCCAGCATTAATTTGTATGATACTAAGTTGGATTTGAGGAGAGAGGAGAAGGGAAGAAGAAACCAATAATAATTACCAATAAACCAAAATAATATTAAATACATTTAGATTAATTTAAATCAAATATTACTAAAAACAGGCTTTTGCCTTGCAGTCTTGAGTTGTCATACAGTTGTTATTTGAAAGTCTGCACTTTGTGGGAAGGCACCTCCAAATCATGAAGCCAGTTGAAAGTTTTCTTTATTATAAATTTAGCCTGTGCCCCTTGGCCTTTAGTCCTGGCCTCCCCTGGCATGTGGGTGTTTTCTGGGGAGGGGTGTTCTTTCTTTTCACTTTCTTGTGAGATATTTGAGTTCCTCCAGTGTTCAAGGAGCAGCCAGCTGTGCCTTGGGAAAGTGGAGCTTCATAGCCTTATTTGGGAAGCTGCTTCCCGGGCAGGGCTCAGCTCTCTCTGCTGGCACTCACGTCCTTCCCCTGTTGAGCAACATCCATCTCCTTCTAAGAAACTGCACTCAGCTAAGTGATCCACTGGTGAATTGTGGAGCCCAGGCTTTGTAAGGATGCCCCACAGAGCCCTGTGGAGGCAATGATGATCTTCCCAAATTTTGGGTCTAACTTTGCTGGGTGATGTTTGGTGCAAGCTCTGAGGAGGCGTTGGCAGGCGCCTGGCGCATCACTGAGCCCGCTGCAAGCACATCTGGAGCCAGTTGAGTTTTCAAGGAGATACACAAAGTACCTCTTCATCCTAATACCTAAATATTCCCACCAGCCAAATAGGCTGTGAAATGCTGGTTTTGGGTTACAGTCTGGTTGAATGCAGCTTTCATGGATCGATCTGCTGATTTTGAAATATAACGCTGTAATATTTCCACAGAGTTTCATAATAAGGAAATATAATTTCTAACGGCCACGTTCGTCTTACAGTTACCAAACAGTGTTGCCCAAATCTCTGCAGTTGGGGCACTTTCCTTCTGGCTGTGGTGGGCTGCAGGATGGCACTGTGTGGGAGCAGTCCAGCAGCAGAGGAGCTCTGAGGGGAACACCTGGAGATACGTGGCAGGGAAAGGTTGGCCCAGCCCTCTGTGTTCCTGTGTGAGAAAAAGCTACTGCGTCAGCAAAAATTCAGGGTGTGAAAGAAGGAGAAAGATCGGGGGAATGCTACCCAGCTAACCCAGCTGTATTTCCTAGGAGAACGCTGCAACACAACTATACATAATTGCCATGTCCAGCTAATCTGAGTCCCCCTTGGGTGAGCAGAAGTCAGCCTGAGAAATACACTCCAGCCCAGTTTCTCAAACTTTACTTTAGTGCACACCCTTTGGGGCTCCTTGGTGTCTGTCAAAGTAAAAAAAGAACTAGCAGTTAATTCTAGTTTTGTGTAGACATTTCCTGCTGCACCCCAGCAGTCAGGGGTAGTCAGCCTTTCCAGAGCCACCCTAAACTCTCCCATCCTGGTGTTGCATCCTTCTTATCCCTGCAAGAACTGATTGTGATTTTGAGACTGGTATTTTCATGGTATTGCTCTAAGTTGAAAGCTTGAAATAAAGATTTTTTGAGGCTTTGCAATCCCTTCCTGCAAGAGACCTACAGTCCACAGTGCAAGGAGGAACTGGTTTCTCAGATACTATAAAATGAATATGAAACTGCCTGGAAAACCATTGCCAGGGAACTTGACAGTAGCTCACTGTTCAGCTGAAAGAATTTATCAAGTAAGTCCCTTGTTTTGGCTTGGATAATGGAATCGAGAATGTGCTTATTGAATTTGCAGAGAGTACTGAGCTGGGAATGGGTTTGAGAGCTTTGAAGAGCTGGATTAGAGTCAAAACAAACTCAGCAGATTGACCCAATGGGCTGAACGAAATCTGATGCAGTTCAGTAAGGAGAAATGCAGAGATTACACTGAGGTGAGAACAGCTGATTGCATGAAAATGGAACGAGAAGGTCCAGGCTGTGTCCTGTGGAAAGATGAGGTGAGCAGCAAGAGCCACCTGAGCCCTAAAGCTGGTGCAGTTCCAGTTCTTCAGCCTCAAAGATAATAGGAGTTTGTGGGAAGGAGCAGGCAGCTTCAGCTGGATCTCATGTGAGGTTTTGCCCTGTCTGTGTTCATGCCTTCAGTTCAAACTGTCCCCCAGGGTTGAGGTCGAGGTGTGTTCTACCTCTTGCACCAGGCAAGCTGTGTGCAGGAAACTTGTAGTGGCACTACAGATGGTTTTCTGCCAGGTTTAACTGAGCGCTCCTGCAGGTTTCAGTTTGTCATTTTGGCAAGCCAAAAATCTTTCCCCACAGCCGGTTTCTCACTCCTTGTGATGCTCAGTGGTTGCTGACAGAGTGCAGCATCACAGCTGGTCTCAAGTCATGAGGTTACCAGTGCTCCAAAGGGCCCCTATGCAGCTCCTCTGTGATGTTTCATTCTCAAGAGGTAGTTCTTCACCTTTTTGCAGGTGGTGGAGCTCAAGGTTTCCTTGTCAGGTGCTTGTTAAATCTCCAGGGCTTGCAAATTACTCTTTGGAAAGCATGGCAGGAGAGGGAGGTGGACAATAGCCTCAGGCCTTTCCTTTTAGTTTCCAAGAGGAATTCTGGGTAGTATCTCTGTGGTATTGTTTTGTGGCTTCATTGTGGTTTGTGTTCTTTGAGTTTCTGTTTACAAGATAAGTTGCTAAATGTGTTTTTAAACTCGCTCTGTAGCATTGATACTCATTTAGTCATTTTGATACAGATTACATCCAAAACAAGATAACCAGCATAATCTGCTTTCGTCTGCTGCAGTGACCATCAAAGGCTTTTATGGATTCAACTCAGAACCCTGCTTCTTTCTAAATTAATTTTTGTTAACCTTGTGCCATTTCTGCATGTGAACAAAGCCTAATTTATATGCACAGCGTGGCTTAAGAGCCAGACAGTGACTTTAGTCTGGGGCCTGCTTTAGGACATGATTTTCTTTATGTATGCCTTTGCTTTCCTCTCTCTCTGCATTATCTCTTTTGTCAGTAACTGTTTTCAATTATCAGTTTTTTCCTTGTCTGTCTGCACTCAGCAGCCTGTTTACCACGAATGCTCACCACTTCCTGCCAGAGAGGTGGTAACTCAGTGCCCAAGTTACCTGGGGAGAGCAAACAACACAGAGCTTGTTCAGATTGTCCCAGCTTGGATGTTTTGAGCCCTGTGTCCCTGTGACTGTTGGGGCTCACGTTCTTCCTTGCTCGCCATCCATCAGGGCAGCAGCTTCCTGCATCTGCTGAGAGCTCCTTTTATCCACCAACTCCCAAGCGATTAATCTTATTTCATAAGAAAAAAAAAAAAAAGCCCAAACAAACAGACAACATACTTTCTCCTGGCTCTGGGAATTCTTGCTTGAACATGGAACCCCTTTGGGAAGAGGCCAAGCTGGCTGGCAGCTCCCTGGCTATGAATCCTCCGTTTGTGGCCCCACAACACTGCCCCGGAAGAGCACGGTGGATGTTTGTGGAAGTGGCCAAGCGACTGTGAGACCCAGGCTGCTGGAACAGTGGGCATATTATAGCTGGAAAAGGCAATTTCTCTGCCAAATCTTATTGTGCAAGAGGGTTTATTCTTTAGCCTTGCAAAGATTTCGCTTTGTTGGTTCCTTTTTCGCTTGCTCTCTGAGAATTGAGAAAGAGGTGGCAGCGCTGCCATGGAAAATGAGCCCTCAGCTCCTTGCCTTACCAGAACAGAGCTCTGCTGCGCTCAGATGTCCAACGTGCATGAAAGCAACCAGCTGGCATCCTGCTCCTCATTAATGTGTTAGATTTCCCTGCTTTTTCTTATGCTTTGCACACTTTTTGACATATAATCTAGCTCAGTAGACCGTGTTGTGCAGCACCAGGAAGCAAATGTGGAGCTCGCTTTGGGCGTGATACTAAATAAGGTATTCCTTGCATTTCCTGCGGAAGAAAAAGAACATCTGTGTGAAGAGACATGTTCCTGTAGCAGTGGTGGGTTTAGGGTGCAGAGCTTTCTCAGATTATTAAGAAACGATTAACAGAGTTGGGTAAAGACCACATAGACCCTGTGAAATAAAATACCCTTCTGTGTGGAGCTGCTTTTCCTGACTGCCAGGAACACCTCCCTTCCTGTTCTTGGAAAACAAGGGCCTGGCTGAAAGGCTGAGCTAACTGGGCTGACGTCCTCCAAGAAATGTTAAAGGCCTTGTGGTTGCTGCAGGATATTGTATCATCAGCTACTGTAACACTTGCCTGGCTGAAATAGCCTTCCAGCTACAGGAAGAAGCCATCCAAAGGCTGGCTCAGAGGTGACAGAAGAGACTATTCCTCTAGTCTGGGGAGAACAGGAGATCTGAAAAAGTCTGTAAATCATTTTCCCATTTGTGTTTAATTCCTACTGAAAAAGAAAGGTGAAGATTTGTAGATGGGGCTGATCTGCTGGTTTGTCAACCATCACATGGAAGCCAGTGAAGCAGACAGTATCTGGCCAGCATCTGGAAGTAGGCAGCATCTGGTAGCAGGCAGTAGCTGGCTGACAGCAGAAGATGGACAGACACTGGAGGATCAGTAGGAAGAGAAGGATGTGGAGGGCAGTCCCCTCTTGCCAGCACACTGGCCTGGATGTGTGCTGCCTTTCCTTCTTCATTGTGACCTATTGCAGCAAACTTAGTAATGGTCACTTCTCTTGAAAGGTCTGCTGGCTTCCTGCTTCTCCCTTTCCCCTCCCACGACCCGAAGCTGCCACAGCCACGCTGTTTTCCGTGTTCCTGCTCTTCCCTTGTGCCGGCTCTGTCTTGCCTGCCTAGATCCATCCCACAGAGATGTTGCTCTGTTGGTACAGTGCTTGCCTTCCTGAGGCCTTGGGGCACTGCCGTAGTAAGTATGATTATGGATAGCCAAGGAAGGAGGGAATTCTAGCTTAATCCTCCCAGCCTGCATCCTAACCGGGGAGCTGCAGAGCTCCTCTCTTCCCAGGCTGGTCACTGGCAGGGTGCTCTCTTGAAAGGCAGCAGGTGTCTTGTTCCTTAAATCAAAGGTATGGATACCCAGACAGCATCTTCCAGCTTCACTGGGATCAATCTTAACTGTGTCAGAGGAGTTCTGGAGGCTGCCTGAACCCTGGGCACAGCCAGCTCTGAGATGGACCATCAAAGCATCGGGCACGCGCTACTTGCACAAGCCAGAACTAGGAGGTATTTTGGGGGAGGTCAAGGGTTCTTCCCTACTCCAGTGCTGGGAGCTGCTCTGGGAATTTAAGGGTGGTTTGCAGTGTGTGGTGAGGGAAAGGAAATGGATTTCTTATGTGGCTTTCCATAACAATTGACATCACAGCCGAAGATGTTGGAACATTTCCAACATTGATTCTGATTGCTAAAAGTGCTTAAACTGCTTCACAAAACTAAAATAAAATCCTGGTTTGAAATACAGTCAGTTTCTGTGTGTTACTGTTCTTCGTACTGAATTATTACAAATACTGTTTTCCAGTTTTATAAGACAGTTCCAAAAAAGGTTGCCTTGGGAAAACTGCCATGTGAAGCCCGTGGAGGTGAGGAAGAGCATTGGGTTCCTAAGCGGGCAGACTTGTTGTGAAGTTGTTCTGCTCATGACTCATTCTGGATGCAGTTTTTCCCTGCACAAGAGCAATGTGCATGTGTGTAATCCCAGTGTCTCTGTGCTCTCTGCTGTGCTGCAGGTGGCTGCTGTGGCTCTGATCAGAAGCAGTATGTGTATGGAGGCTGGGCTTGGGCTTGGTGGTGCATTACTGACACTCAGAGGTAAGGAGACCCCTGTTATTTATGGGTTTTTTTGGAGTAGGAATTAGGCAAAGCAATCCCAATGGGGCTGTCAGCAGTATCTTTAGGAACATGGGACTGGATATGAAACCATGGATGAGCATCAGAGTTCTCTGCTGACTGTTTGCATGGGGACAGCTGTGTGTACACAGTGCAAAAGACACAGAAAAAGAAATCCCATGCTTTCAACTGAAGTACTTTTCAAATGGCCTCTCTGTCCACACCTCTCCTCAAACCCAGGACAATCATGTTTGCTTGGGTTTTTTTCCTTTTTAGTTGTGGTTTTTTGTTTGGTTTTTTTTTTACATAAAACCCATCAAGCTGAGAGACCCATAGCCTGACTGGTCAGTGTGTTTCTTCCTGTGCTGGTGCAGTGAGTGCTGAAGAGGGAAAGAGCTCTGCTGACCTTCCCAGCTGAGGCTCTGGCAGAGGTGCTGGCAAGGGCACTGGGCTGGCTCATCCACGAGCTCACAAGAGAAGCCAAGTTCTGCCCAGTATGGCCCAACCCCTCACCCAGTAGCAAACCTGTTTGTGGCCTGCAGTGCCCCCTCCTGCTCCTCAAGTCTCTCTTTCTAAAGATCTGCTGACTGCTCTCACCTTGGGAGCAGATTGTTCCGATTTAAAACCGTGGGACTGCCTTTCTCTCCCTTTTCTCAGTCATGGATTGTGCTTGCTGCTGCTTACGGTCTGGTCTCTGAGCTAACATGCTGTGGTAGTGCTCCTGTCCTGCTAATACAGCTCTTTGTCTCTAGGATCTGTAGGAATGCTAACTCTCTCCCAACACATCCCTCATGCTCACCAATACAGGCTTCCTCCATCTGTGTAAAAAAATTAACAGGGCAAAGGATAAAGATGTGACTTTTGGGTTTTGCACTGAGTGATGGGCAGAGGTTGTAGTTAACCCTTACTTGCCTGGTCTTCCAACCTCTTTTCCCTGTTCATGTGTTGCCACCAGCAAACAATTGAGCATGTTGCTGCCGTCACTCTGCAGATGATACACTGCTCACCTGGGGGTCATGCACCTTCTCTTGCTCCAAGGGGTCTTGGCTGCTGCTGTGTTTAATCTAGACAAGCTTCATTCCAAATTTTTGTGAGACATCTTGTTGGGAGAGCTGTTAATTGAACAAATGGTTCCTGCTCCTACTCTTCTTACGTGAGAAGTGCAGAGAACAATGTGGGACCTTGACCTGCTGAGTGCAGGAGGTAACAGATATATTTGGGAGGCTGATTTATTAAGTTAAGGATAGGCTGAATCCAGGGCCAAAACTGCTTGCCAGGAATGAGCTGTTATGTGGGAGAGATCTGGGCATTATTTAGCAAATGGGTCTCTTGACAGGTAGTCCAGCAACCAGACAAATCTTTTACTTTAAAATCTATACCCCCGGTTCACACCACGGGATATGGGGCTTAATTCTCCCTTCAAAAACAGAGCCTTTCCCAAATGCCATAAGCTGTGCCCCAGATGGAGCCCACTGCATCAACATGAAGAGTGAGGCAGATTTCCTCCTCTGAAATTAGGACATTTTTTCTGGAACTGCCAGTGCTGCGAGCAAGAGAGACAGCAGCAATTGTGTTGCTGTCAGCGGCGTCCCGCCAGGTAGCACTAACCTGGGAACAAAAGGAACAGTTAGAGCTGGCAGGGTGCTGGGCACTTATTCTGCTGCAACCTTGAGCACTGGGGAAAAAACAAGGAAAACAAAATGCTGTCCTTGTTTAGGGATCAGAAATAAAAGCAGGGAGAGAGACAGCATGGTCTAATATGCCTCTGGGGGAGCCAAATGGTGTTAATTCAGCTTCCCAGGACAGCACTTGGAAGCAGATTCTCTCCTCAATGCCTTAGCCAGGGGTGGGTAGCCAGGTCTCTGCCACTTTCATTTTTCCTGGCCTCTCTTAAATATTGACATAGAAGCATCTAAATTATTACGAAAAGGAATTTTCTGTGTGCAAAGATTACTTCAACAGCTGACTCCAGGCTGGCTGTCCAGGCGGGATAGATGGTTCAGTTTCATGTGCAGGGTGGAGATGAGACCCCAGCCTGCCTATCCTCATTAAAGGAGGCAAGTGGATGGTGTAAACTCCCCACCAGAACTAGGAAAGCTGATCTGCCCCATCATTATGGAGCCCTGGGAGTGGGCAGTGGGAGAAAGGCAAACTGAGCAGGGAAAAGCTGAAACCTGAAAGTCTCGTCTGTCCTTTGCAATGAGTGTCTTACTCTCTGGTAACTGCTTTGTGTATTTGCTGTCCTACCCTTATTCCTCGCTGCTCAGAGTGTCTTTGGAGGTTATGACCATCCTCTGTCGCTGCGAGAATGTTGAGACGTCGGAGGGGGTCCCACTGTACGTAACAGGGGTTGCACAGGTAATAATCCACCAGCTTCCTAACATCCTGTCTAACTGTTTGTCCCTCTGTTTTGAGCAGCAGCAGCAGCAGCAGCAGCAGGATAACACAAAACCTAATGGTTTTCTAACGGGACAGAAATCTCAATACCCTCCTCTCCTTCCCCTTCTCCAGCACTTGCCCTGAGGCACTCCACAGTTTATAGGTAATGCAGACAGGTGCATCCTTGGCAAATTCCAAATTCAGCATTGCTGTACCTAAGATTTGCTCCTGCTGTAACCCTTTCCTTGCCAGCACTGTTTCCATTGTGTGCTTGGTGGAGAGCAGAAGGGCATCTGCTTTTGTGTGGAGGCACAGGCAGGCCAGGTTGGATTCTGTACAGGATTTGGGACAGGTGGGAAGGCAGGTTTTGTGTCGTTTCAAAAGGAAACCTGTACACGTGTAGGAAAATTGCAACTGTACCTGGCTCTGCAGTTTTGGCTATGGATTTCCACTCAGCCCTTCTTCCTCCACATGGAGACAGTGCCCATTTTGGATGTCGTCACGTTTGAAAGTACAGCACAGAGACCTCGGATGAGCGGCAGCACACAGGACTGGCATTGGCACTGTGGGCAGTTATGAGCCAGCAATGACCCAACATCCCTGTGAACTGCCAGCTAAGCAGCAGCACAGCTTGGAAATCAAATTCGAAGTGTAGATTAGGTTTTCAGAAGGCTGAAATCCTGCAGTATCTGATTAAAGCTCTGAATGCACATGGCAAAAAATGCCTGTGCACGTCCTGGACAGTGGGATCTGTTTTATCAGCTCCCGGTTTGCGTGCCAGTTTAATTAGGACAATGGCCAAGGCAGGCATGAACTTGCAGGGATAGGTTTCGGCACTTCCAGCCAATCCTGGAGCGACTCAGCTTGCACACAGCAGCCCAGGGCAGCCCCTTCATGGTTCAGATGTTTGACCTAATGTTCACTGACACAAGCTCTCTGCCCTGTGGCTCCCTGTCCTGACTCCCAACGCCTTTCCGGCTCGTTATGGCTGACACGGGAGCTTCCTGAAACAGAGCCTGCCATATCCAGGCATGTCTCTTGTTTTTACAGATTGTGACCTGCAGACTGCTGGGTCTGACCAAAGTACCTCATGCCCACCTTGGGTGACTGAGAAAGCTCTGGAGCTGCAGGATCTGTTCCTGGGTGCCTGATGCTCTACAGGCCTGGCCTTAAAGAGCTGGAGACTCATTTCCATTTGCCTTTGGGTCACGGAACACAGGAAAAATAGAGGGAGAGATGAACCAGATCAGGGGTTAGGTCTGTGGTAGTGCTAATCCAGGGCTACTTCTTGCAGCATCAGTGCCAGGTTCTGCCAAACACAGGGCTCCTGTGCAGTGAGTGGGAGCATCCCAGTTCCGTGCTGTGCTTTTAAACCAGTGACACCATCCTGCACTGCTGCGGCATTGGGCAGTGCAGCACAGCGAGCCTCTGACTGAGGGCCCTTTGGAATCCCAAAGCTGCCAGCTTCTGGCCCTTCACCGAGCCCAGCAGGAGGCAAAGGGTCACAGGATCATTTCCAGCCTTTGCTGATAAATTACCTTTAAGCATTATGTGAAAATCTACTTCTTAGCCAAAGTACCGTGTCTGTCTCCAATCACAGATATGCTCCCTCGGCTGCATTCTGTGCCTGTCTTGCATTACCTGTGAGGAGTGTGGCAGGTAACCCGGGGCAGGAGATGCAAAGGGAAGAGGTGAGTGTGTGTAACCTGGAAACGTGCAAATATTTTACGTTTTTTGGCAGGATTTCCCTAGAGATAATGACGTTACAGCCCAGGTGTGAGGACGTAGAGACGGCGGAGGGGGTAGCTATAACTGTCACAGGTGTGGCACAGGTACAGTAACTCCAAAACATCATTTCAGGAATGCATGTCTCTAACTTACCTCTGGTTTTGCCCCTTAAGAGGTTGCTGTTGTCCAGGCAGAGAAGCCAACTGCTCTGAAACAAACCCTTGTGCAAAACCACGCTGTCCTTGTTGGTTCAAACACACTCCAGCATGTCCCGTGTGGTGATGGGGGTTGTGACCTCTTCTTCTCTCCCCATAATCATTTTTTTCTGGTATCTCATTTGTCTCTGTGGCAAATGAGGTGTGTGGGGGTGAGTTGATGTGTTTGTGGAACGCTGATGTGCCACGGTGCCCTTGGAGCCATGTGTGACCCCACAGGACTGAGCTGTTCCCTCCAGAGATGGCATCGAGCGTTATATTGCTTTGTATTATTATTGTTAGCACGTGGACCTTGTAATTCTTCACGGTGAGTTAAAGCTTAAAAAAAATAACTTAGTCCCTCCAGGCACTAAGATCTGTGTGTGAAATTTCTGGCTTGAATTGAATTTTGATTCTCTCCAGCCTTCTTCAAATGTAAGCACCAGCTCTTGCTGCTTGTGACAGCACACTGAACCCTGCTCTTCTGGGAGTCTGAGGTCTGCTGCCCTGGTACAGTCTGTCCTTGTGCCCAAGTCATGCCCTGGGGAGGATGCTGGGAGGGAAATGTTAGCTTTTGAGGAAATTTGGCTCCATGAATAGGCAGCTGCATGGTTTGATTGAGAATTGCTCCTGACAGCCCATTCTGGGTGTATAAACCAAGAGTGGCTCTCAGTGCATACAGGGCTGTGGTCACCATGTGTCCGAGGCATGTCCAGGTGTGTTATCACAGGAGAGGTGGCTGCCACATTCCCTGTGGGGAGCTCTGGAGCTGAGGGTAGCTGCTGAGTGGCACAGTGATGTGACCGAAATCCCTCATGGCTCAGAAGGCTCCCCCAGGGAACACCACTATGGTGCTGCTGCGGCCCTTTTGAGACCCAGTGCTTGACAGGTTTCCCCCAGTGCTCCCAGAGCAGCAGGTTCCTCCTAAGTTCATTGGTTTGCTCTGAGCTGATGCTGCAGGGGAGCTGTGTTTGTGTGTATGTGAGGGTTTGAATTCAGCCAGGAGCAGTTTCTGGATTGTCACACGTGACAGAAGGGCTGGGCATGACCGTGACTCAACAGCAGATAATCCATCATCCTCCTGCTGTTGGGAAACAGGGATACATGCAAGAGCACCAGCATGGGAGCCAGCATCTTGGGCAAGTCCTGACATTGATGATGTGAGCCAGCATCCTTGGTTTCATCTTATCAGTACTGTATATCCACCTTTCAGTTGTTTTCCAGTTCTTTATATCCATTTAGCTGCTAAGGTGTCACATAATCCCAGTGATCTTTGCATGGTTGGCAAAATATGTGCACCCATGTCTCCCTTCACACTCATTTCCTAAATCTGTAGGCTTTTCCTTCTGTTTCTGTGAAGGCAGCATTCTCTTTTATCCTAGTTTTGGGACATCCCTCCGTTGCCTGCCTAGGCTGGGTGGTGTGTGGTAGCAGAGAGCTGGATCACCAGGTGCCTTGATTCAAAAATGCAACTCTCAGTTCATCTCATTGATATTACTCTCTTCCCACTGTTCATTTTTTTTTGCTGTCAGTTAATTTTAAAGGTGAGAGGCAAGGAATTGCCTCACAGAAAGCAGGATTGAGGCTGTTGGGGATGTGCATGGCACAGGTTACCTTAATTTTGCAGAAGTACTTTTGAGGCAAACATTTTTCCATTTAGAGCTTGAGCAAAAAAGGAAAACAAATTATTTCTAGAGAAAGAGCTTTTAGAGTTTTTGCTGTAATGATAGAAGTGGTTAATGTGCATAAGGATGCTGTTCTTTTCTTGAAGAGGGATGTAATGAGTGCTCACCAGTAGCCTCCTTTCTGTGTTGGCTGGGTGCTGGGATGCTGCTGCCTTAGGCCAATGCTGGTCTCCACATCCTTCTGTACCATTTTCCTGAGCCTCAGGCTAATTGGATTGTCTCGACTGGCCCCTCACTGCGAGTGCAGCTGGCTGGAGCTGGAGCGGGGTGCGGCGGTATCGATCCTCCACACTGGATTGTTGGATGGAGGCTCTGATTCCCTGCCAGCTGAGTCCTCTCCCTCTGATGGGAATGACATTTGAAGAAGCGCCGAGTGTCGCAGTGCCCTGCCTGAAATCCTGCAAACACGCTGAGCACAAATTGCTCAACCCCTGTTTCTTTTGTGCAGCCTTTGCTGTGGAGGTTGGTGTCCATATTCTGCACAGAGCCAGGCTCTGAGCTGTCCAGGGCTCAACAGTGTAAACTGGCTGGCTTTATTCAGAGGCTAAACCATTCCTTGCTCCTAAGTACCGCAGGGATCCTCCTAACAAACATCCCACTCCGTGCTCTGTCCTCCCCGCAGCTCCCGAGGGTGGGGATTGTTTAGAGAAGTGGAATTGCTGGCAGATGCACACCATAAATGTTGCTGCTGAGTCTAATTGGTTTTGATACTTGCAAAAACCTCGTGGAGGGCTCACACTCCCGGGTGCGGCTCCACAGCAGCTCTCCCAACTCCCCCTTGTGTGGGAAGAGCACACTGCTGGGTGCAGGGATGAGAAACCACTGGGGCTTGACCCCAAAAGGATCCCAGAGGTTTTGGGACAATGCAGAAGAGGATTGCCATGCTTAGCTGTGATTCAGTCTGGCATTTTGACCGAGAGATCCCACCTGGGAAGCAGCATTAGGAAATAGGGTCAGCCCAGGTTGATGTTTCTTCATGTTGTGAGGGACAGGGTTGTGGCAGGTGAGTCTTGGCCAGCTCACCACATCTAATAAGGTCCACCTCCTGTCCCCATAGAAGGTGATGGTCCATCCCAGTTGTCCTGCTCTTTGGCAGTGTGGGGGCCAGGTGCTGCTGTTTGGCTCCAGAGGGATCATTTTGGATGAGTGGGCTGTCAAACAAGGCTTTCTCAAGAAATAGTTGTGTTGCTTTTGCCAGCTGGAAGCGCTCTTGTAGGTGTCAGGATGAGGTCTGTAGGCTGTGAACCCCTCAAGAGTGTGCACTGGGACCCTTGGAGGGCCCCTGTGGTGCAGTTGAGGCTTTGGAATTCTCTGAGCCAGGTCCAGCCAGGGCCCTTGGGGCAGGACATGGGGTGCCACCAGCCCCTCATGGGACAGGAAGCACTGCCCAGCCCAGCTGTTTCCATGAGAGGGTGCTGTGGGACTTGGAGATCTGTGTGGCTGCAGTGGCACTGCTCCCTTCTCTGGTGCTGTGGGACCTGGAGGTCTGTGTGGCTGTAGTGGTATTGCTCCCTTCTCTGGTGTTGCCAGGCACAGGGACACCTCTATGTCCAGGCTTTGCCTGAGCCCTCACACTGGACATGGCCACCAGGAGCTGTCACCTTGGTGGGTTGTAGCTACTTGTAGTTGTGTGCTGTAGAGCTCTGTGAGCACAGATCTCCGCTGCCTAACACACCCCACAGGGGTTTGTAACCCACTTTGCCTTTAAAAAGCAGCCCCGTGACCAGCAGGACCTTGGCTTGTCTGGAATGGGGATGTTTTTACACCTGGCTCTGACAGTGGGAGGTGAAAGAGGTGGCTGTGTGCCATCTCTGGGGATCGCCACCAGACTGACCATATGGAGCAGAACAGCCAAGTCCTGGCCATGACACACTGGGGACACCTCAAAGGACAGCCAGGAGCTCCTTGCCCCAGGCAGGACAAGCCCGTGTGCTGTGGCCATATTGTCTCATCTCTCCTTCCAGGGAACACTGAATGGAGCCCCTGTTTTAAGCTGCTCCTTGGGCACATCAGACTCTTTCTCGTTCTCTGCCTTTCCTGGCTCAGAAAAATTAGTTCTAGTGAAGGAGGAGGAAGAGAAAGGTAACGAAATGGGCTTTGGCCAGGAGTGGTAATACAAAGCCCTCTCCTGGCGCTGGTGTTGGTGCAGTGACTGAACTGGTAGTTCAGGGCTCTTGGTAGGATTTCCACCAGATGGGACAGGTAGAGCCAGGCTCTGTCCCCTGCAGGGAGCACCTCTTCACGCTGAGATGCCGTCAGGGTTTGGAGAGATGTGTGCCCTGGCTGCTGGTGTGTGCCTGCAGCAGGGCTGTCCCCCGCAGCGGTGAGCAGGGGCTCGCTGGCTGGTCCAGTGGCCTGGCTCAGTGTGGCGGCAGCTCAGCGTGATCCCTTGAAGCATCAGTAGCACGGGGGCCTGACAGCCTGGTGGTGGTACTGCTGCTTCTGCTGCTGCTGCTGTAGGGTGCCTGGACAGGCACCTTCAGTCCCTTTGGTTTTGTCTCCTGTCTCTAGGTGAAGATAATGACCGAGAAGGAGCTCCTGGCTGTGGCCTGTGAGCAGTTCTTGGGGAAGAACGTGCAGGATGTGAAGAACGTGGTCCTTCAGACGCTGGAGGGACACCTGCGCTCCATCCTAGGTGCGGAGGCACTCGTGCCCTGAAGGCATCTGGAGTGGCTTTGTCTCTCCTCAGCTGGCTGGCCCCAGTGGTATCGCTGCCACCGCAGCTGCCACACGGGACCTGCCTCTGCCGACTGCGCATTGTGATAAATGACTTTTCAGTGCCTGCAGTAAGAGATGTCTGAGTCCTTCGTGGGTTACAGGTAGCATGTGTGGGTGGTGGTTGCACTTGTGAGACTGAGATGTTGGTGCCACTGCAAGGGCAGAGGATTATAGCCTTGTGCCCAGGCCTCAAGAGATAAGGGACAACAAGGATGTTGCTGAGCTTAGACCCATGTCATTGTGTGTTACCTGTTCCAAATAAAGTGCTTCACCTTCCTTCCCCCTGCAGGGACCCTGACAGTGGAGCAGATCTACCAGGACAGGGACCAGTTTGCCAAGCTGGTGCGGGAGGTGGCAGCCCCTGACGTGGGTCGCATGGGGATCGAGATCCTGAGTTTCACCATCAAGGTACACCCAGACATCGGATGCTGCACTATGGGCAGAGCTGTAGGAGCAGCAGGGCAGAGCCTGGCTCTGGCTTCTCTGCTGCAGCCGGCTGGAAGGCTCCAGCTGACAGCCTGCCCCAGCCCTCCGGGAGTTTCCATGACAGCCGCCGCAGCATGTCCTGTATCCAGGCAGCTGGGCCAAGAGCACCGGGTTAGCTGCCTCTGTAAACAGGCTCGTGGAGAGAGCTGGCTGATAACCCAGCCTCCAGGGAGTCGAGGGAAGATGTCGGGAGAGCCTGCCTCTCCCTGCCCTGCCTGTTTGTGTGGATCAGCTGACATGGCGCGTTCTGACCTCGGCCTGACCGCATGAGTGGCTGCCCAGAGCTTCAGCGGGGAGGGAGCAAGATGGAGTCGCTTGTTTGAAGTGGTTGTGACTTATTCTCTCCTCCCCAGGATGTCTATGATAAAGTGGATTACCTGAGCTCCCTGGGGAAGACTCAGATTGCAGCTGTCCAAAGGGATGCAGACATTGGAGTGGCAGAAGCCGAGCGGGATGCTGGCATTCGGGTGAGTCCGGAGATGTGCCAGCCTTCCCCAGAGCAGCCTGTTTAGCTCCAACTGCACACCCTGAAGCTCTGCTTTCTTTTCCCTCTCCGCAGGAGGCAGAGTGCAAGAAAGAAATGATGGATGTCAAGTTCATGGCAGATACCAAAATAGCAGATTCCAAACGGGCTTTTGAATTGCAGAAAGCTGCCTTCACTGAGGAGGTCAACATTAAGGTGAGAGTGTCCCACAGCCCACCGCTGTTCCCTGGAGGGTTTGTGATGGTGTTGATGGCTCTGGGCTTGTCAACTTCTTTCTCCTACATCTATTAGGAGAGTTGAAAGTGGAGAACCCGGGACTGTGTGTCACTGTGTGAGCTCTTGCAGCAGATTCCTCTCCTGTTTGCAGAAATTTGGTGGGACTAGGAGGAAAGGGTGGGGAGGGTCGTCCAGGCTGAACCTGGAGCTGGTTGGGCTCAAGTGGTATGGGAAAAGTGCACAGGGAAGGACAGCACTGAATATTGGGATGTCACCCCTGGGAAGAGGTTCAGTAGCAGGAGCTGTGTTTGGTTTTAGGTCCTGCCAAGGGTCCTTATGTCTGTGCACAGGAGCTCGTGGCCCAGACCCCTCTTCTCTTCTCCCCCCTGTGCAGACTGCAGAGGCCCAGCTGGCCTACGAGCTGCAGAGCGCCCGGGAGCAGCAGAAGATCCGTCAGGAGGAAATCGAAATCGAGGTGGTGCAGCGCAAGAAGCAGATCGATGTGGAGGAGAAGGAGGTGATCCGGATGGAGAAGGAGCTGATGGCCACCGTGAGGCAGCCGGCCGAGGCCGAGGCCTATCGCATCCAGCAGATCGCCGAGGGAGAGAAGTGAGTGAGCCCATGACCTGAGCTGGGAGCACAGTGCTGCCCCAGCTCGTGGGCTCTCTGCAGAGATCTGGGCTGCTACAGCACTGGATTTCCTTTTCCAGGGTGAAGCAAATCCTCCTTGCTCAGGCAGAGGCAGAAAAGATCCGCAAGATCGGAGAAGCAGAGGCTTTTGTGATCGAGGCCATGGGGACGGCGGAGGCTGAGGGGCTGAAGCTGAAAGCAGAAGCGCTCCAGCAGTATGGAGAAGCTGCCAGGCTGGCTCTAGTGCTGGATGCACTGCCTGAGGTGAGGAGGGAGCAGCTTTCCCCTGCCCTGGGCAAGTGCTGGGGAGCTCCCAGGCTGGGCCGGGTCTCCTGTGGGCACAGCAAGGCCCTGTGTGATGTGTAGGGATCTTGCCCAGTGAGCTGCTGACCAGTTCCTTGACTCTCTGCTCATTCCACCCTCCTTCCCTGCTTCCCTAGATCGCTGCCAAAGTGTCTGCTCCCCTCTCCAAAGTGGATGAGATTGTTATTCTCAGCGGAGACAATAACAACACCATGTCCGAGGTGAACCGTCTGCTGGCTGAGATTCCCACCTCCGTGCGCGCCCTCACTGGTGTGGATCTCACAAAGGTGAGCTGGGCACTGGCAGCTGGCAATGCCAACAGCTCCTAGGGCACAGGGACTTGCCTGGAAGCTTTCAGCCTCTCAGGGAACCTGTCCTTCCCCAGCCCTGCCCACCACAGAGTGCAGGCAGCTCCCTGCCTCCCTCTCCTCCAGCCCTAACAGCTTCTCTCTTCCCCTCCTGCAGCTTCCCCTGTTCCAGAAAGCCAGCGTGGCCAAGGAATGAGGTTGGCCAACCCAAAGCTAGTGAAGATCACTCCCTGTTATGCACTCAGACATCAACTGCCTTCGACACGTGGGAATTCCTTTTATATCAAAGACAATCTGGTTTTCATTTGTAACTGGTGCCTTATTTTGTAGGGCCAGAAAGATGCATGTCCTGTCTGCTGCTCTTTTTATTCCAAGGGTGGGAGGGGATTTATTTTGTAATTAACTATGTATTGTCTCAGGCCAATCCCTCCCCAGATACGACTGGCAGCTTGTGTGGTGTTGCAGTCCCGGTGCCTTGCTGTTCTCTGCCCTCAGGTGAGCGCCCAGAGCTCGAGGCAGAGGCTTGGTGGGATGTGGAGCTGTAGGAAGAGAACAGCCAGGACCCCCCTGCTCTCCCTCAGTGACCCTCCTGGGCACTGCCCCAGCCCTGTCTCCCACAGCTGTCCCTGTGGCTGGCTCTCCCTGTCCCAGTGTCTCACCCCCAGTGCCCCTGCAGTGCCAGCAGCCCTGCCCAGGCTGGGCTTCCCAGAGGTGGCAGTCACCCCCCAGGAGAGTGACAATCCAGCACTGCCAGTGGTGCTGCCCACTCCCATGCTACTTCCCCTTGAGGAAGTTTCCTTGTGGGATCTGGAGCGGGGAAAGCTCTGAGGGGCAGAGGGAGCCCAGCTCAGCCATGGTGAGATCCCACCACCAGGAATACCAAAAAGTAGTGCTGTGCCAAAGCCACCTGTCCCCTAAGAGGGCAGGGAAGCCACTGCAGCTGCTGTCCCTGGGTGCTGTGGTACATCCTGACCCCACAACCACTAAAACTGTGGGTCAGAGGTGGGGGGGACCAGCAGGACACTTTAGTGGGGACAGGCTCCTCCTGTACAGCTGCCTGGGGACCAGTGGCCCTGTGGCTGGGTGCCGGCCAGGACCTGCCCCAGCAGGTAGTGCAGGAACCCCTACCTCACTCCCTCCCCCTGTCTCTTATGGCCAGTGGCTTTGCTTCCTTGTGACAATGTGAAAGGGGTTGTCCCATGTGTGTCTGTCCTCCCTGCAGTGCCACCAGGGCCCTGGCTGGCCCATGTCCCTTCCCCGCCTGTCTTGATGCCTGTGCTCGATGTGGCTGTTACGGCCAGACCCGCGTGTGAGGTCAGCCTGGCGCTGCTGGTGAGGTCAACCTGCGCTGTGGTGGGGTTTTGGGGGTCCCTCCACTAGCTCCTGCACCCCCCAGCTCGGTCCTGGTTGCCATAGAGTGGGGGAAGGTCCCTCTCCACTGTCCCGGGGGACAGCCGGTCCCTTTGCCGGGAGTGACCCGCTGCAGAGGGGTGGGTGCTGCGGGGCCCCCCATCCCCTCCCTGCGGCCGGGGCGGGGGGACCGGCATTATCAGCCCCCGGCTGGTGCCGGCCCGCGGGCGGTGGGTGCAGATCTGGCGCTGGCCAGCAGGCGTGCCGGGCCGGGCCCTGTATCTGCATGTGCCTGCGCCTGCCGCCCGCTGCTGTGAGATAATAAACCCGTGTCACCTCCCGCCTGGGCTCTGTCTCGTGCCTCGCGCCCGTCTCTCCCGCCCCAGCACCCCCAGGATTGGGCTGGCCGGGGGCTGCTGGTGTTCCCGGGCAGATGTTCCTGCTGGGATGGGGGAATAATGGTGTGTGGAGGTGAGGTCCTGGCTCACACTGCTCCTGCAAACCCGGGAACTGGTGACCTCCCCACGGTCACTGTGCCCCCATGGGCTCCCTGCCCCAGACCTTTGTGGGTGTAGAGCCTTGTCCTGCTCCCACAGGGACAAACATGCAGCCAGGAGCCACCGAGGGTGGCTGGTGAGCTCCACTGCATGGCTCCTGTTATGCTGGGGGTGCTGACCACTGCAGGGGCACCCCAAAAGATTGGCACCCCAGGGGTTGGAGCAGGGCTGACATGGATGGAAGGCTCTGTCTGTCCCAGCAGCCAGGTTGGTGGCAGCAGCTCATCTCCCCCTGTCCTGCCACAGGAACCCTCTCCCAGCCCCACACACCCTTCCCTGTGCTGGGGGCCAGCTGGGTGGCTCTGGGGGTACCTGTCCTGCTTGGGGTCACCCAGTGAGCAGGAGCAGTGACAGCCAGCATGAGGTCGTCATGGGGGACTTTGCTGCAGTGATCTCCCAGGGGTAAAGATGGTTTCTCATGCTTTCCAGACCCTCCATGTCCCCCCCAGACACAGGGCAAGACAACAGGCCCTGTCCTATGTGTCCTGCAGGGTGGCCCTGCAGATAGGCTGGGTGGGGACAGCTTGGCAGCCCCCAGCACATCCTTATCTGGAGCCAGACATGCTGCCCTGGGCCAGCACGGCTGGTGGGAGGGCTGTGGTACACAGGGGGCTCCTGTGGCACCCAGGGGTCCCCTCACCATCTCTGTGATACCAGCCTGGGGGGACACTTGGGCCCCCTCTCTCCTGAAGGGCGCAAGGCCACAGGGCAGGGCTACCCTCAAGTGCTGTGTGTGTGCAGAGTGGGCAGTGGGGCTGGCGGGCACTGGCTGGGATGGGGACAATCCCATGGGGCTGGCAGGGCTTGAGGAACTCAGGGACACTTTGCCTGTGTTGCTGCTCTATGTGCTGGGGGTGCCTGTGCCACAGTTTGGGGAGCACTACGGGCTCCAGAACACCTCTGGGTCACCTCAGGGACCAAAACCAGGAGGGAACAATCCCTCACAGCCCCCGAGTCCCCCACATCCACATGTCTGGTGCCAGGGTGGCACCAAGGCTTGACCTTGTGCCACCTCCTACCAGGGGCTGGCCAGGCTGGGGTGATGCTGCCCCTGTTCCTGTCACCCAGAGGTGACAGCAGGTCTGGGGACACCTTGTGTGGCAGGGCAGGGTCCCCGATAGCTGGACACTGCTGCTGCTTATCGGGACCCCCACGCAGATGGTCCCAGCGGGGGGTTATCACCTCCCCACAGCCGACTTCCAGGAATGCCAGCGTGTCCTGGCACAAACAACCCAGCACAATGGCACAGCACCTGCTGCAGGATGTGGCCCTGTGGGGACAGACAGAGCTGGGGGACACAAATGACCAGGGTCATGCACAGGCAGGTGACACTCATGGTCAGGGGGTGCAGCCACTTGGGGACATGTGGCCAGGGGACAAGTATGACCAGGGTCATGCACAATGAGGGGACAGAGCCCTTGGGGACACGTGTGGTCAGTGGAGCATGTCCTTGGGGACACACAGCTGGGGGATACCTCTCTGCAGGAGACACATACCCCTGGGAGGAGGGTGCACTCACACAGGGGACATGAACTCCCAGGATACTTGTTCCTGCAGGGAACACATCTTATTTGGGGGGATACACTGCATGGGGACATGTCCCTCAGGGAAGCATATATGGTCAGGGGACACAGCACTTTAGAAGTCACCCACCCCAGGGGGACACAGGCTCCTCACCTGGGAGTGCCTGTACAGAGTGACCCCCTGAACCCACATGTCCCACCACCACCATCCCAGGCCCCATCCCCATGGACTGCCACCCTGCCTCATCCAACACTACCATCCAGCAAGTGGCAGCCAGTTTGCAATGGATAGCTCCCCATTTGGGTTCCCCACAGCTATGGGAAGGGACAATCCTGTGACCACAGGGGTCAAGGCAGGAGGGTGGGGGATTTGTGGGGGCCACTCCTATACGCTGAACGCGCAGGGGGTGACCCCCTACAAGCCCCTCATTCCCAACCCCCCCCGTGGGCAATTGCAAGCTGGCAGGAGCTGCTTGGGGCTGTGCCCCCCCGGGCAAGAAGGGGTTAAGGGCCCCGTCCAGCTGTGCAGTGCAGATGTGAGATATGCAGATGAGGCAGAGCAGGTTTTATAAGGCGGGTACAGACCCAGCACCCCACAAAACCCCAGTGCCACCCCTATAGGTAGGTGCCACCACCTGGGGAGCTGCTCTCCTGCTCTGGAGTGATGGGATTTGGAATACCCCAGGAGGGGTTAGGGGAATGCTGGAGTGGGGATGCAATTGGGAGCCTTCACCCCACTCTGGAACAGTGGGACTGGAGGGCAGAGGTGGGATAGGGAATTGTCGGGGTCAGGAGACTGTTTGGAGCCTCTGCTCTTCTCCAGGATGGTGGGAATGGGGGGACAAGGAGGGTGTAGGGGGGATGCCTGGATGGGCAAGCCACTAAGAGCCTCCATCCTGCTTTAGGGTGGTGGGATTGGGAGGGATAATGAGGGAGTAGGGGGGTGATGAGGTGGGGAGGCCCTTGAGAGCCTCTGTCCTGCTGTGGTGCAGCAGGACCAGCGTGACAGGGGTGGGGTGAGCAGGACAGCAAGGTGGGAATGGGGCGATCCCGGTGCTGTGCTCCCTAACCAAGCTCTCCCCGCACAGGCTCCGCTCCCTGCTCCCTGTGCTGCCGCCGCTCCGAGCAGGATATCATCGTATACTGTAAGTTGGCTATGAGACACTACAGTATAGATGATGTACTCCCCGGGCTGCACCGACCACCCGCCCGCCAGGACACGGCGTGGGACCGCGACAGGGGGGCACCGGGGGCGGGGGGAGGCGGGGCTGGGATGTGGGACAAGTGTGCGGGGTAGGGAGGGTGATGGGATGAGGCACCGCGAGGTGTGAGAAGCTCGGGGCAGCTCCAGGGATCCGCGGCCGGCGGGGAAACCGTTACCATTACTGAGTTTAGTAATGGTAACGGTTCTGCCGACGGCCGGGCACGCGGCACGGAACGGAACGGCACGGACACGGAGGTGGAGCGCCGGGATCGGGCACGGGACAATAAAAGGGGGTTACAGCACCGTGGCTCTGTCTCTGCTTCTTCACCACGTCCCCCGGGGACTCCGGGCCCGGTGGAACTGGGTCACTGGGGTGGACTGGGGAGCTCGGGGGTGCACTGGGTCGCAGGGTGGGAGAGGGAATTTTGGGTGCGTTTGGGTGTAATGGGGCACGGGGGTACCTTGGGGTGCGGTGTGGGCAGGGCGTTGGAGTGCAGGGGACAGTGGAGCCCGTTGGGTGTGTTGCAGGGAGCACTGGGGAGAACTGGGAGGCACTCCTGGGTGTTGGGAGAGACTGGGAAGACCCGGGGAGCGTTGGGGTGTAAGGGGAGCACTGGGAGGCACAGGGTTGCATTGAAGAGGGGAACTGGGAGCGCTGGGGCTCACTGGGGAGCACAGAGGAGTATTCAGATACATGAGGTGTGTTGTGGGGGGCACTGGGCATCCTGGGGTGCACTGGGATGGAGTGAGGAGGGTTGTAGGGAGAACTGGGACATACTGTATGCCCCAGGGCACTGGGGCTCACTGGACTGTGTGGTGGGAACACTGGGAGCATTGGGGGCACGGGAAGCACGGAGGGCACTGGAGGCATTGGAAGCACAGGGAACACCGGGAGCATTGACGTCACTGGGAGCACTGGGGGGGTCACTGGGAGCACTGAGGGAGCACTGAGGGAGCACTGCTCGGCGGGGCCGGCAGGGGGCGCGCCCCGCTCCCGCCATCCCGCCCAGTCCGCTTCTTTCCCATAACCCCCTGCGGCAGAGCGGCGCGCTGGCCCCGCCCTCCCCTCGTCTCTATGCTCCCGCGCTGGCGCGCCAATGGGGGCGGGCGCCGGTGGCGCTCCCGGCGTGCCCCGTGGCGGGGCAATATGGCGGCTTCCATGGCCGCGACCGTCGCCCGCGCTCTGCGCTGGGGCAGCGGGGCCGCCGCGACGGGGCCGCTCCTGCTGCGAATAGGTGCGGCGGGGCCGTGGGAGTGCTTCGGGGGGCGGCCGGGGACGTGAGGCGGCGGGCAGGAGCGGGACGGGCGCTCCGGGGCTGGCCCAGAAGCCCTGTAGAGGCTGCGGGGCAGCAGCGCTGCCCAGGCGCTGCTGCGCGGGGAGGGAGGGGACAGCGCGATTTTGGGAGGTTTTCGGTACGTTTTCGGTATATGCAAAATACGTTTGCTGGTGGTGTTCTTCCAGGCTGCCTCCCGGGGAGCCGCTGGAGCGGGAACTGGGAGCTGGGAACTGGAGCAGCGCTGGGCAGGATCCTGAGCGTCCCTGCCCGCTGGAACGGGAGCAGCTCGGCGCTGGGCAGCTTCCTGGGCATCCCCGCCGAGGCACCGCCCGCCCCCCTGGGCCAGCACCCGCCACCCGTGGCCACCAGCAAAGGTGAGGTGGTGCCCGGTGCTGCCCCTCCTGGACAATCCCGACCCGCCCAGGGGGTTTAGCAGCGCTCAAGCCCCTCCTTTCCCCGGCAGAGGAGCAGAAGCAGCTGTTGCAGCACCGGCCCGACCAGCCCAAGAACCCCAAGGTGCTGAGGATCGCCATCATTGGTGCCCCCAACGCTGGAAAATCCACGCTCTCCAACCAGCTCCTGGGCAGGAAGGTGAGGCTGGGCTGGAGCAGCAAGTTCAGGCTGATATATTGCCTTTTTTTCTTTTTTTTTTTTTGCCATATTCTGGCTGTGTAACATGTTTAATTTCCTGCAGGTTTTCCCAGTTTCCAAGAAGGTTCACACGACCCGGTGCAAAGCCAGGGGTGTCATCACACACGAGGACACACAGCTGGTGAGCTC